ACTTACATGTGAAATTCAAGAATAGGTAAAATTAATGAATGATTATAGAATTCTGAATACTGATTCTGGGAGAGGAATAACTGGGAAAGGGCATAAGGGAATCTTCCGGGGTGCTGGCTAAGTTCTTCATATTGATCTAGGAAAATGTTTTACAGATGTATCCTTAAGATTTGTGCACTTTATATATGTCATATGTCATTAAAATGTTTTTAAAAAACTATTAAAACGATGTTTTGGTAGGGACGTGGAGCAATGAGATGTTTCAAATGCTGCTGTGCAAGTATAAATCTGGCACTCACTTTGGTAAATATTTTGGCACTACTTTGTAAAGTAGAAGATACATGACCCAGCAATTCTACTGGTAGGTAAACTCATGCATGTGTACTCTTTGTAAAAGAATCTCATGGCAGCAGAGTCCATGAAGTCAAAAAATAGAAATAACTCAAATGTCCATCATTCTGAGAAGAGATGAGTAATAGTGGTATACTTCAAAGGATGGAATACAATGCAGCAAAGAAAAATTACATCTAATACAGACAATATACTATTATTAGATATAATAACACTATTATATCCAATAAGATAACTCTCAAAAACATAGTTATACAAATAAGCAAAATAAAAGATAAAAGCATGGCAGCATCCATATAAAGTTTAAAAACGGTGTAAAACTACAATATAATGCTTAAAGAGGTACACATAAGTGAAAAAACCTCAGACATTTATCCAGTCATACATAGTCACACACAAACAAACAATCATGGAGACATACAACTAGAAGTAACCCACAAATAAAACAGTAGGGTCGCATATCCAGGGCCTCAAAGGGTCACATAAGCACAATCACACATTTACCAAGAGGACATTCAATCACAATTGGCACTGTCATAGGCACTGCACACCTGCACATGATCGCAGTCACAATCACACTAACCACAGACAAAACCACACAGTATCCACAGGTATCCCCACCTGTACTCTGCAACACAGGTCACACCACTCTATGGGGACAAACGCTATCACATACACCGAGTCACAAGCTCCTCACCCGAATATACAATGCCACACGTGACTACACGGTCATCCCTGGGTCGCATCCTTTCACCAGCACAGTCACAGGCTCTGACTGTGCTGCACACGGTTATCGCTGGAACCGCACGCTCACTACAGTAACAGCCACACACAACCACACGGTCATGTATCACGTACCACCACACAGATACAACCACACAATTTCAGTCTCACCTCCTCAGCAGTACAAAGCCGAAGCTCCGGCCCTGCCCTCTCCTCGGGTTCCCCACCTCAGGTATTCCGAGCTTCCAAACCCACAGAACCTTCCACAGCACTGTAACAGTTACCGGCGCAAACCTGAGGGTCCCGCCAGCGCGTGACTTGCAGGCCAAATTCACGCGAGAATCGCGCTCTTGCCGAGGAGTCCTCTGGGAAGTGTAGTCAGAGACGTCCTTGTGGCAGGCAAAAATGGCTGCCGGTCGTCTTGATTCCTGTCAGGGCTCACCTGCGGCCCTGAGGAAAGGATTGTTTCCTTTCATCGATCCGCTCACCGGAGGCCTTACGGAGCCAGGCGCAGCCTCGGGCCGTGGCTCCCAAAGAAGGCCACTCCGAAGCGTTTGAAAATGGATTTCCCGGGCGCCCCCTAATAGCCCCTGAAGTTGAACAGGCTCTGAAAGAAAAGGGCTGGTCCGCGAAGGGAGATAATTCGCACCGCCGAGCCTTCTGGGAAAAGTAGTTAGGGAGCAGGAAAAGCGGTGGATGGACCGTTTGAAATTCGCCTGGATTCTTCACAGCCTGCGCCTGGCCACACCCCGGAGACTTCTGGGAGTGTCAGCGCGCCCAAGGAGCGCGCAGGCTTCCGGGATCGCCGTTTTGGCCTTTGTTCGGCGTGAGTTTGGCTTGGGGTTTCCTCAGTGCAGAGAAGTTGTCAGACCTGAGCGTCTGAGATCTGAAGCTAGTCAGGGAGATCGAAGAGGAGGAGATCTGGAACTTGCAATGGATTTAGAGAGGTTGAAGAAGAGGAATCGCTAAACGTGAAATGGGGAGGGGGTGGCCCAAAGGGAGGCGTTTCCTACGCTGCCAAGAGGGCAGTTGTTATTCTGTGGTGTGTGGTAGTCAGAGCCTGAGAATGAGGGGGCGGTGAGGCAGGCGGTGCAGGAAGGAGTGAGAGCCGGGGTGTGTGTGACTTAGGGTGTTGGGGGTCGTGGAGAGGAGAAACGGTATTCAGAATTTTGTGTGCTGGGGGTGTGTGTGTAATTGATCATTCAAGTAAGTGTCACCGCATTGTTATCTTGGAAAATAATTTCTGAGTCTCAATGTAAAACAGTTAACAGGAAGAATAGATCTTGGAGTTTGGGGTTTTGTTTTAAGATTTGATGGGAGAAAGATTACATAATTGAGCTAATGAATGACTTAAAGCTTGACTTTTATGTAAAACCAGAAGCATCGATTATGGAATAGAAATAAAAACAGCTTTCTTAAAAAAAAAAAGTTGATTTGAAAGAAACTTTTTTTTAATGAGGTGCTTGCTTTTCCTTAGAGCCCAGACACTGAACATAATAGCCAGTCAACTTTATGTGTGCTTTTAATATCTTGCCGGAGGAGTGCATATCTAAGGGAGTTGATTTGTGAAGTCCTGGACTAAGAAATGGCTTTAAAGTTTGATGGGTAGTATCGGCCATTGGAAATAGCAGAGAAGTGAATTAGGGAGTGTTATTCCCATTTTCTGATTAAAAACCATGGTTTAGAGAGATCAAGGAATGTGAGTTTTAAGTTCTTCAAGGATCCTAGTCAGATCGACAGATTTACTGGTTTACTCATTTCCTCTGGTTACACGCCAGGCCAGGTAGATTTTGTTAGGTGTAAAAATAATTTGCTTCTAATGGCAAAGATGCTTTCTCCAAGAATTTTACTACAGCTACTTTTAATATAATATAAATAAAAGGAGAAAGTAAGGTAGATGGATATAAAATTCATGTAAATAAACTTACTATGTACAACCAATCTTGGAATAGTATAAAACAGTCAGAATCACCTTAGCAAGAAATAAATAGAACCTATCTAAGAAAAAAATTTAAAACACTACAAGGGACACACAAAAAGAATTAACAAATGAAAAGTTATACCATATTCTTTATTGAAATCTTTAACATCATAAATATGTCATTTTAAGTTAATTTATTAATTTAACATGATCCCACTGAAAATAACATATTTCTCTAAATAAAGGTTATTCTAAAGTTCAAATGGAAAAACAAAGAAGACAGTATATCTGGAAAAAAAGCAGTGTTGAGCAGTTGACGCTAGTCTTACCAGATCACAAAACATAAACGCTAAAACTTCAGAAATTGAAATAATGTGGGATTGTCGTCTTACTGGACAGACAATGAAACAGAATAAAGAATCAAAAAATAGAACCAAATAATTTTAGGGCAGTGGTTATAGTTCAGTGGTAAAGTGCATGAAAATATGCTCAACCTCATTCATATAAAGATAAATGCCATTAAAACTATAGAAATACTGTTTCTTATGGACTTGAAGGGGAAATATTCCCAAAATTCAAAAACTTACATTGTTAGAGGGATTTCACATTGGTACAAACTTTTTGGAAGGCAATTTGGCAGTGTCTTTCAAAATTCAAGTTGCATTTACCCTTTCATTGAGCAGTCCCACTTCTGGAATTTTATCCTACAGGTGTAGGTATGATGATGCGTATCTAAAGTTATTCATGTAGCAGTCTTCACAATGCAAAAATACTGGAAATAGCTGTAAGTAAGCCACTGAACATAGTGCAACACTATGTAATTGGAGAAAAAAATGAGATCACTGTCTATGGTCTGATATGAAAAGCGTTGAAGGTATATTAAGTAAAAAGAATAAGATGTAGAACCTTTGTCATAATATGTTTTTTGTAAAAGGGGGCGCATATTTGTATTTGCACAAAGTTGAAATTTGTGTGAGAAACTGATGGAAGTGATTTCTGTGGTAGACATTGGGGCAATAGAGTGGGCAGGGACAAAGAAGGGAGTAATTATTTCCTTATACTTATTTGGGACATACTCTTTCTACATAAATATTTGTGCATTGTCATCTTTACATGAGAAAGGAGAGGTTATTTTTGGGTTCATCACATTTCTTTTCAGAAGGGTATCACAACTGCATTCTTGACAATTTCCTTGGCTGAAACTTTTCATTTTTTAAATTAAAAAATATTTTATTTATTAATTATTATATTATTTTATTTTAGTTGGGGGGGAGGTAATTAGGTTTATTTATTTATTTTTAGAGGAGGTACTGGGGATTGAACCCAGGACCTCATACATGCTATGCATGTGCTCTACTACTTGAGCTATACCCTCCTCCTTCATTTTTTAAATTCTAATCTTCTGATCACTAAAAGAAATAACAACAACAGCACCAAAAACATTAGTGAATTATTTTTCCTCTGGCCTTTTTAAAATTAATTTGGATTCTGTTATTGACCATCTTCTCTCAATCTTTAAGTTTTTTTTTTTTTTAGCAACTATATCCCACTATGATGGCTTCAGCACCATTTACTGACTCATGCCAACAGATTTGTTTCCATTATAGGCCTGTCTTTTTTGTGTATGTGGTAAGTTATACATAAGATAAAATTTACCATTTTAACCGTTTTGAACTACACAGTTTGGTGGCATTAGTACATTCACATTGTTGTCCAACCATCACCACTGTCCATATCCAGAATTTTTCATCACCCTAAACTGAAACTCTATACTCACTATACAATAAATAGCCATCCTGTGTGCCTTCAGCCTCTAGTAACCACTATACTACTTTCTGTTTCTATGAATTTGACTATTCTAGGTACCTCTCATATAAATAGAACCGCAAAATATTTGTTCTTTGGTGTCTGGCTTTTTTAACTTAGCATGTGATGTTTTCATGGTTCATCCATGTTGTAACCTGTATCAGAATTTCATTCCTTTTGAAGGCTGAATAATATTTCATTGTATATTTATACATTTTGTTTATGCATTTATCTGTTGAGCATGTGGGTTGTTTCCATCTTTTGATTATTGTCAGTAATGCTGCTGTAAACAAGGGTATACAAGTATCTCTTTGAAATCGTGTTTTCAGTTCTTTTGTGTGTATATTGGGTGAATTACAGGATCATATGTTAATTAAATATTTAATTTTTTGAGGAACCACCATATCCTATATCCTGCCAGAGTGATATTGTGACAGTCTCCTTGCTGGGATGGTTGAGAGACCAACTGCTCTTTTACAGTTTTCTTCTTAGCCGCATTCCCTGTGTACTTTGTAAAAAATCAACTTTATTGAGGTTCAATTTAAACACAGTGAATTTTACCCATTTTCATTGTTCAAAGAGTTTTGGAAATGATTCTCTAAGAACTCTTTACCTAACCTGAGGGCAGGGAGCTCTCTTCTATGTTTTCTTTAAAAGTTTTATAGTTTTATATTTTCATATTGAGACCTATTATCCATTTTTGAGTTAATTTTTATTCAAGACTTATAGCAAGGTTTGGTTTTTTTGCATAGGGATGTCCAATGTCCAACACCATTTGTTGAAAAGACTATCTTTAGTATATTCAATTGATTTCTGAATATTGAATCAGCTTTGCATTTCTAGGATAAACCTAACTTGCTTGCAATATATACTGTATTGCTAGCTTTGATTTGCTAACTTTTTGTTGAGCAGATTTATATCTATGTTAACAAGGAATATTGATCTGTGTTTTTTTTTCTTTTTTTTGATACTGTCTTTGTCTGGCTTTGGTATCAGAGCAATTCTAGCCTCATAAAGTGAGTTGGAACATTCTCCTTTCTGTTATTTTGGTAGAGATTGTGCAGAATTGACATTATGTATCCTTTAAATACTTTGTAGATTTCAATAGCAAAGCCATCTGGGCTGGAATTTTCTTTTTGGAATTTTTAAATTGTGAATTTAATTTATTTTTAAAATTGAAGTATATTTGATATATAACGTGTAAGTTTAAGATATGCAACATGTTGATTTGATACATTCATATGTTGCAGTATGATTGCTTTTCTAGCATTAACTAGCACCTTCATCATGTCACATAATTATCATTTCTTTTTTGTTGTGAGAATTAAGAGCTAGCATCCTTCTCTTGTTGGTGATCTTAAAAGGAGAAGTTCTCAGTTTTTCAACATTGAATATGGTGTTACCTATGGGTTTTTTATATATAGCTTCATTGTGTTGAAGAAGTTTCATTCTATTCTTTCTTTTTAACATTTTTTATTGATTTATAA